TTTTTTTTTGATCTTGAAGAACACAGGCTGATATGTTGATGTCATTCACAAAGAGGTATCTGTGGAGAAATCAAAACGTGCTTGCAACTACAATCAGCTTGTAGTTAACTGTACAGTTAGCTTGCTTAAACCTTACTGAAAGTTTTAGTCTCTGATAAATACGTAGCAGGAAACACAGAGTAGACATGAATATAGTCAAAGAGTCTATAGTCAAAGAGTCTATAGTCAAAGAGTCAAACTAATCCATTAGGAAAAGAATTGACTGGGAAACATATTTGAAGTATAAGTGTACTTTAGGAATCATTCTGTGTCCTAAGGTTGCATTATTTCTTGGAATTGGGAGCGTTAGGATGATGTTTAGACACTTCAGCATCGCAAAATCTTCCCAAATTTCCCCGTAAGTATTTATTCAGATGAAAATCCTTATTCTAAGCTCAGTGCTTACTGCTCATTTAGCCTCTGCTTTAAAACTCAGTCATCCAGTCCAGGTTCGGAAGCCTCGACTTGTAGGTCAGCAGCTGAACTCCCTCGATTACACCCAGCACAGAGGCAAAGCAATAACAAGCAGGTTGATATTACTTACCCAAACAATGTACAGACAAGTTACAAATAACKCTTTCTTTGTTGAAAGAAATCGATTGGTCTCGGTGACTCACTGAGCAAACAAAGAGCTACGTGTTCGGTGAACGTTATCCTTGGTGAGTGGCCGCGCCGGCTCCAAGGCRGAGGCAGCTGCCTGGTGCCGAGTGGGACGCCTGTGAGGAGCCAGCAAGTGGGGCCAGCTGTCTAGGCCTGGCTTCCTGCTGGCCSGAGGTGACCCAGGGGTGTCCTGCAGGCTCTGGCGGGCAGAGGTTGGCAGYCTGTGTGCCTCTGTGAGGAGCTCCTGGCCACCCTGGGGACAGGAACCCGGCCGAGCTCACGGTGAGCTGGGGCTGGCACCCTGGGTCACCTAACGGTGCTCTCTGGCACTCTGGTAGGGATACTGTCCAGCTACCAAGCAGGGTGCAGCCTGTGGAGGCTTTCCCTCTACCCACACTGGATTTATAAGCCTTTGGAGAGGAAAAGCAGTCGGCATTCAGGGACCTTCTCAAGTGGCAAGGAGACTTCCCTGGTGTACAGATTCTCAGGAGAGGCAAAGCACCTTCTGTGTGTCTCCCACAACAGAGATGAGCTTCTTTTTGATTAACTCAGCRATGCAAAGATTTTCTCGATACAAACACTCCTAGAAGCAACTCATTCACACAGAATGAAGGCAAAGAGAGCAATCCAGCCTCTTGAGAACCTGGCATCAGATGAAAGGCGCGTGGCAAGGCAAGGCAGTGCAGAGCACAGAGCTGCTATTCAGGCTAGGGGAGTGCTTTGCTTCCCTCGGCCATGCAACCATGGTCGTGCTGCAGAGAACTGGGCCTGCAGCTTTCTGATTTCTTCCCCAACCTTCAGCACTGTTTTTACTCAACTTCAGCAGTGGTTACTCCTGGTCTAGTGCTGGCAGAAGAGAGCTTATGAGCATGCCCTAATCTTTATGAGGGCAAGTCCTCTGTCTTAGCCTCATGGCAGAATTGACTGTGCATGARCTGAGGTCTTAGAAGACCTCATAGTCCAACTCTCATCCGAGTGGTCTCTTAAGTGTGATGGTCTCCAGCTGGTTATCAGTGAGTAGCAGCTGAGCACTGTGACACCTTCAGGGTGTTAAGCAGACTTGGCAGAGGACATCTACTAGATATGGTCTTACTTTTATCAAATTCTGTGAAGCAATTTAGCAGTGTTTATTCACAGCTGTCAGTAAGACAGTTATAACAAATAACAAACATGCAGCAACAGGGCTTAAGCTAATTWCCAGATAAAAGGGAAACTGATACTTTCGGGAGGATGAGGTTGTTGCTTGATTTCCAGAACATTAAAGACACTGTATATGTGATTGGATAGCAAATCCCACCTGCTTAATATGGCAGTCGGGTGTCAACACTTACCAGTTGGTTTTGTTTTTCCAAGAAGAATGCCAATCAAGAGGAATGTATCAAGCTTGATGAAATGGTAGCCCAAAGCAAAGACTTTCAATACTGAGCTAGATGAAGTATGGCATGTAAAAGGTGGCTCAATATTCATTTCTGAAATTATGTTCTCCTGTGTTCCTCAGAGACTGTGAGAACCTGATGTTCCAGGTTGAAAGACTGAGGCTTTGCATATGTGGATTGTTGCTGAAAGTGAGAAGGAGCCTTTGTAATGAGCCTCACAAACAGTTTGTGTGTTTCCTCATAAATGTAACACCAGGATGATGAAGCCTAGCCAGGCATATTTTATGAAAATCTTTTATCACCTGATTGGAATTAAAATGCATACACCTCTACCAGGCAATTCTGGGCTCTACTGCCACCAGTTCAGAAGAAGCACCTTTTACCAATTCCTTCTCTGATGTTTGACTGAGAAGGAAAAAGGAGCTCCCCCTCTGAGACAGAGCTCCTTGTGTTGCTGCCTGAGACTGGGAAAGACTAGGTAGCTACATTAACCAAATAATATAAACCTGCCAACACAGTGATTCACATGTGTCACCACCTGATGCAAAACACACATGGACAGACAAAAGGGAACACTGAATTCTTGACATCTTCTGTGTTTTGCAAATGCAGTGTGAGACCTATTTGAGGAACCCTGTTTTGCAGCCCTGCTATGATCCGTCAGGGTGGCTTAAGGAATCGCAGTAGCAGCCTGCCCCTGTCTAAATGCATGGATAACAGTGCATCAAAATCCACTATGTCTGCACATGCCCTCATATGCTGAAGGGCTTGTGTTTTTTCCTGAGGGCTGCTGATCCTCCTTTATGTATCTCACTATTCCTGTTCCTGCAGAATTAGACACCATGCATTTGGACGGCTTACAGAAACATTAATAAGGATAGCAAATGACTCCCTCTTATCTGATGCATTATTATCATCATTTTCAAAGTAGTGAAGGCTTTTACACTATGCAATGCCTTTCATCCAGTTATCTGGAAACATTTGCAAACAGTGATTGATGTAATTAATAAACTTCTGTGAATAACATGGTTTTCTTTTCTGCTTTGTGCCTGAGTTGGGAAATGCATTTGTTTAAGGGAGATGGCAAAGGAAAATCAATTTTTAACAACTTTTGTTGTGTTATTTTGTTATTTTCAACAAAACAAGATGTCGTCTTTGACACCAAATCAGAAGTTTCCTTTATTTTTCCTACATGAAAAATCAGCATGTGAAAAACGAATGCTTTAATGTTCCTGTTTTTTAACGCTTTACAACTAGGTTTTGATCAATCCAGAGCTAATAGAAAATACTTATATTAAAGAAAAAAAAAGCTTTAATTTCTGTCACTGTGAAGTTTAGAAGCGATAGGAAGAGCCTTTGCTGACATGAGAAGACTGAGGGAATAGAGCTGAAGAAGTCACGGTCCTGCTCTCTGTTGCACTGGAAGTCCTGCTCCCTTCTTGGTTGGTCCTGGTGAGGTTACATGCAGAACTACATGCTCTTCAACTCAGGAAAGGGTAGTAAGAGCAGAGAGAAGTTAGGCAGTTCATTGTAACAACTCTACAGGCTGTAACCTCCATCATTTTTGTCAGTAAAAATATGAGAAGGGCCAATTTCTGCCTTTTGCCTTTCTTTGGAACCAGAACTGGGCTTGTGGTGTTGGCATGTTTTGCTTTTCTTGTCGTTATCTGTATTTGCTTAGCCAGTATTTGTAATTCTTACAAAAATCAAGAAAGTTACTTAAAAGATAYTAAATCCACTTAAATCCTAAGAACATTTACAAAAGAAGATCTCTGAAGTGAGAATGTTCTTACAGGAGAAGAGTAGGAATAGGTTGTGCATCTGAATAGGTTTTGACACATATATTATGTATATGTACATTAATATGTAAACCATTACTTTGAAAGCTCCTTAGGCGTCATCTATTCTCAGAGCACCAAATAATGTGAAATTTTATATGCCCCATCAGAGTGGGAAGATATTGATGGCAATAATTAKAAAAGTATTTGAGGGCTCCCCAGATAAGATATGTTCCCATATGTCAAATTATCCGGAACTACAGAAAGCAGGCCAAATAAATCGATTGTTCATAGTAASCAGGTTATTTTGGCTATGTTTTAAAATAAGGCAAGCTGTCGATAAATTAACAAACATACATTGCAATTTTTGACGTAAGTTCATTTATAATGGTAAGTTATAAAATCCCAATGTGAAATATGGTATACCATGGACTAATATTTTATTCATTTTACAGTATTTAGTTTCCAATCCCCTCATTTTTTAAATAAATTATTATCTTATTTTTTAAAAAAATCTCATTTTTAAATAAGAAGAATAGAATAGAATAGAATAGAATAGAATAGAATAGAATAGAATAGAATAGAATAGAATAGAATAGAAATAAGTCTAGTTTCATTGCATTAAAGTATAGGAAGTGAATCTAGAATATTAACCACAATGTAGTCTGATGTAGTCTGATTACTACATCATTTCTGAAAAAAAACACCACTTCTTACCAAATTTGAGAAAAAAAAAAAACCAAGATAATATTATATACTTTAATATTTAAAAAAAGTAGTTGCTAACTTTTCCATTTTGGCATTATGATTGGTCTAACATAGTGTAACATAGCATAGTGATTTTGCATTGAATTCCTCCAGTGTACTGAATATTTGCAGTTATTTCTTCAGCATTAAATACCAGGACACTGACCATAAAGACCTACTTTATGTCTGCCAGTGTTGACACTGTTGCAATCACAGGTATCCAAAAGTGTCAGTAATAGGATTGACCTGACCAGGCTCGATGCAGGCAAGGTACTTAGGTCCCTGCCTTACAGTGTTTCTCTTACTTGAGAGTAGATCTTAGCTTTCTATCTTGCTGTTTCATCAGAGACTTAAAGATGTTCTCTATTACTTCATTTCTGTGTTTTATTTAATTAGTGCGAGATGGAGAAAACTTACTACCTTCGTATTAAGATTGTTGAATAAATTTCCTTAAATTCAGCTAGTAAGTAGTGAGGATTTTATTTTTATTTATTGCAATTTACGCAGATTCACAGGATGGTTGAGGTTGGAAGGGACCTCTAGGGGTCATCTAGTCCAGCCCCCTGCTCCAGCAGGGACACCCAGAGCACGGGACACAGGGCGGAATCCAGGTGGGTTTGGAAGATCTCCAGAGAAGGAGAGGCAGCCTGTTCCAGGGCTCTATCACCCTCACATTTCCCTTCACCGAGTACATGTTTTGCTAAACCTTCCATACTTGCAGTTCCCTCTATTTCAGGAATGTCTATCTGAACAACGGCAGTAAATTTCMTCAGGAAATGGTGAAGGACAATAGAGTTTCATTTTCAAATGTTTTTTTTCATAATTATAGATACATGAATTGATATAATCAATTTCATTTGCTATTTTACACAACAGAAGCACATCAKGTAAAGTATGCTCTTACTCCCCTAATGTGACATTTTCACACTACGCCCGACTGTTTACAGCTTTAACTGGCGTGTCTTGTGTGCTTAAAATTAAGACTGCCTGGAAGTGCTTTATCTGAGTGCAGGCATATTTTTCAGTGCTTAGRAGGATTGTTTGATCAGGAGGTGAAGTAGTTGCCCTATTTCTTTTTTCTTTATCGGTCAGTATCACAAGGGCACATATATAATATCTCTAGTTTTCATGTACGATGGCTTCAGTGCTAATGAGAGGTAACAAGTGGTAGTCTTAATAACACAGGCTTTCTGAGTATTTCTGTAAAATATACTAAAATATTCAGAAAAAAAGAAAGGAAACATTCAGAAAGGCTAAGAAAAGCAAAATGTTCTTAATAAAGCAAAGAAGGCACATTAGAGACTTTTCCTCACTGTTTCAACATATATTCTTTCTCAAACTTCCTAGCCTTTGTTTGTGAAAAGGTATTAATTGTATTTGTCAATAAAAACCAGAGCAGTCATTAAGTAACAAGACTGTGAGGGAGTATAAATTATATACATAATTTATATGTGTATAATRCTGTGGAACTCATGATGAAATGCTACCTTCTTCTTTATCTAGTTACTTAAGGTATTCTTCCTGATTAGCATGGGGTTGGCTCTTGTTTACTTGTCTATTAGAACTAATCAGTTAAAGTGTTCTTAATTACCTGGAGATCAAGCATATATCCTTGTCCTTAAAGCAGTATTGTTTTCCTGAACATACCTGGGCTTTGAGATCCTTTAGAGATGTGATTACTCTGACATGAGTTGTATCTTAATTAATATTTTACTTTTTTTCAGACAAACTTCGGTATATACCTGATAAACCAGCCCTTGTGCTCATCCTTTCCGGATATTTTATCCGTGGGATCTGAAGTTCTTCCAGTGTTGAAGGAGAACCCTGAAATTCAACCCCCACCATCCAGTGAAGAAAAATGTTCAGGATAATATTATCTGTCGGAGGTGAACTTTACAGCAACGCTAGGGAAAGAAAACAGTAGTCAGTTATTTAAAAAAAAAAAAAAAAAAAAAAAGAGGGAAAGAAAATCCTTGCACTAGTTTGCTTCTGGGTTGAGTCTTTTAATTTTGTTTGTTGTAAGTGTTATCAGATGGCGGTACCCTGGGTAATTGCACCTCGCCTACATGTTTTCTGCGATTGGTTACAGCAGCCACAACTCCTTTTTGCTCAATTGCTTCAGGATGCAACAGGTTAGATCCAGTTTCACTGGCGGGTGGATGACTCCCCAAACAAGCCCAGCGTGGCAGTCAGAAACCCACATCTCACTGAGGGAAAGTCCACACAGCAACGCGCTGCTTCCTTAYACCGTCTTGTTAAAACCGCTTAGGGGGGAGAGCATGCAGGCCTTGCTACCAAAACGGTGTGGGTGGGAGGAGAAGGGACAGGCTTAAGGACATAAGGGTAGTAATTTCTTCGTCTTTCAAAAATTAAATTGAAGGTAGGGACAGTCAGAAAGCACAGGGCAAGAGGGAACTGCTAATGAGAACGCAGGATCAACCTCTTGTGAAGCGATGGGGGATGAGGATGCCAAAAAGGCACAAAGATCCATAAAGATTTAGTATGCCATTTGCACAACACCCTTTACTTGTGAGGTCATTTTGTCCATTTGTTCTGGTYTTCTTTTTCTTCTTTTTTTTCCCCTGTTATTTGCCATTTATATCTGTTTGGGTTTTTCTTTTTTGTTGTTTGATTGTTTTAAACAAGTCCCACACAATTGTTTGCTTGCTTATTTGTGGATGTTGATGGTTTTTCCCTTTTTTTTTCTCTCATTAGAGATTTCTTAACTAATAYAACCTAATTTCAGTAAAACCTTTGTTTATCCTCAGCAGTCTCCAGTGGCCAAGATATTGAGACAGCTACTGAACTTCTGAAAGTTTGGGTACTTCTCCTTCCCAAATAGTCAGAATACTTTTTTTTTTTTCTCCCCCTGATCTTCACGACACTTTTTGAGCATACAATATTGTCATKCTTATAAGATCTTTGTTTGCTAAAACTGCCCTAAACAGACCCTCATGCTTTTTGAAATCTGAGAGCAAGTGTCTGGRTAAGTGTCTTAGTCTGGAAAAATCAGTTCTCCTTAAAATAAGTAAATTAAACCAACCTACACACAGGGGAAGGGGAAAAAAAAAAAAAAAAAAAAAAAAAAAAAAAAAGGAAAGTTAGTGTAATGCAAGACTGAGGCCAGGTTTTTCCTGACCCTCACTCAACATGTGTCCAACCAGGTCCTGGGTGATTTCATGCCTTCAGGAAGTCCTTCTGTTGATCTAGCTGGTTGCTCTGTTGCCACTTGGCAAGTGAATTTTCGCCCATTAAGAGCACTGTCTGAACTCTCATCCGGCATGATTTAAGTCTTCCTTGGGGCAATTTTGGATCAAACTGTGTGAAAGTGCCTGTGGCTGAAGCAATCCTTGAGTTGTTTGAGTTTTGAGTGTAGCCCTGCAGAAGAACAGGCAGCTTTCCGACAGAATTGGTCACAGTCATTGGGAAAAGGGAGTGATTACCGCCGAGTAAGGCACACTGGGCAAAGGGAAGGGCATCACCCAGCGTGGGAATCCAAATTCAGAAAAAGTCATCTTTTTTCCTTTTCTCTCTTTTTTTTTCTTTCACGTTTGCTGCAGTAGACTGCTGTTAGTCTCTCAACAGAGCTTTGTAATGGAAATGAGGAGAGACGTTATCTCTTTCTTACAACCTGCCATAAAACATRTTGAAAGAGAGACATGTTTTACGTGCATGCAAACTGAGGATCGGTCTGAAAGCTGCGTATTCCATTTCTGAACCCAAGCACCACTCCTTGGTATTTGCTTTGAAAACCATGGGTTTTATCTGTCTAGTAGTTAATTATCTGATGTTGTAATGAGCAGGATTCTTGCAACCTTGAAAAGCAGTTTCCTGGTATCTAAATCTCTTAACTGCTTCGCTCTTTGCCTTCCTGGTATGCAAGAATTTTGTTTTGTTGAATAGAAAACTAGCATGACTCTGGCACATTTAATATGAAGAAACCTCCTGTATTTTGACCTTCAGGTGATCTCCGGTGCTTTATTCTGTCCTCTTCACCTCATCGGTGTGTCATCTGTTTTAAATGGCACAGGAGTTAGAAGAGGAAATTGAAAGCAAACCTCAGCAAGCTCTGTTTCACTTGTTACTGTTACACTACAGAATAAGGCACTTTGGTACACAGTGGCTTGACAAATTCTGTTTTTGAGTAGCATTAATGCAATGCATGATAACTAAAGAGGGGAGGATTTGAACTTTAAAAATGCCACTTGGTCATTTTGAGCTATATTTACAAGCAGTTACTCTGTCTCCTGTATCCAAGTCATATTAGAACAAGAATAATTTTATCGTTTTACAGAGGAAAGGAAATCTCTCTGGTATATGAACCTTTTCATTAGTATATTCTGTGCCTTTCCCAGAAGGAACATTCTTGTGCTACAGCAATACAAAATGTCACAACAYTTTAAACACATGGAAGAGACATCAAGAGTCTTTCATTGCAACAGAAGACAATATTTCCCTTCTAATAGGTGGCATGTCCTCACTGGTGTTGAGGTGTTGTCTTCCCATCARTAAAGACAAGTTCTTCTGAGTACCAATACTCCAGGGAAAATCTTGCAGTAAGAAGACTCACTTTCAAATGATGTGCCTGTAAGTTTCATAGAAGGAGAATCATTTCCATAATGTGAAAAAAGAAGGTATTGGAGGAATGAAAAGAGTGTAGCACTTCAAAACATGTTATATATTACATTACTATGTGATATTTAGTGATTAAATGAGATTAATGAGATTAAATTTCTTTAAGTGGGTCACTTCTCAATGTTTAGAGTACTGGGAAATAAAAGACAATTTCATAGGAACACAGACGCTTTCCTCCTGCTGCAAAATTAAATCTTTGGACTAATGGCATATATATATATGTTTACCCCATATGGGTAAGAAAAGTACTTAATGCAGTTTTTCCACAATACTATACATAGAAAGTCCTCTAGATATTTGAAAGCTAAGTCTGTATTTCCGTAAAATAAATTATTCAGATACATTCCATTTCTGTGGGACTTAACTCCTTCTCAGATCTCAAGGCAAAATGATTATTGCATGCTCTAATTATAGCCATGAGGCTGAAATCACAGAACAGAAATCAGTATTTTCAGGAGAAGCCTCTGAACTCTGTTCTCTAATATCACTAATATATTTCAGACGCACTTTATGTTGTTTTCAATGGCATCCTTTTAAATATGGTCAAAATAATAGGTCACCCTTCCATCAAAATTATATACAAAGCAAAGGAAGGGACTGCTTAAGGGGCTCGATTGCTGTTTGTGAACCATTAAGATTATGCTCTGCATTTTTTTCTCCGGTCTGCTCTTTAACTCTCTTCGAAATGAGATTAATAAAATGTATATTGTGCTTGGCGTGTCTCCTTGTGGTGCCTATGTTCTTGAGCTGTGGGTTCATGAGGTGCCCTGCGGTTCTGCTCCTGGGCGTTGGCGGACTCATGCAGCRAGTACGTGGCCGGTGCTGCTCGGGTACCTCACGGCTCGCGAGGTTCGCAGGTGAGGTGTTACACCAGCCATTGCTCTGTCTGGTCAGCACGCCAGCCAGTTGGGTGTTCTCATTAGCGCCTACATCAAATCTACTCATAACCACACCTTTAAAAAAGGCCTAGAGATAAACATGTTGGACCCATCCCTATTACCCCAAGGTTTAGTGGTCAGAATCCTAGCAAGGATGTTAGAGAAAGGTGGTTTTGTTCCCCTCATTTGCCTGGAGGGATTCAACACCATCTTTCCCCACTGCTTAAACTAGTCAGTAAGCAAGACTGGGGACTTAAGAGTACAGGGTGTGTGTGGAAATGATAGGTGAAGGYTTGTCACTCCCATTTCATGGTTCTCTGTGATTCATTGGGCCAGAGAGAGACATAGACACACAGTGAGACAGCACCCGAGTATGACTTTGTGAGCCACTCATTGAGACTGCCTTTGGATTCATTGTGGATGGGAGGGGAAGGAGTAAATTACATTATAACCTAGTGGGTGTAGATCTCTCCTGTAGAGGTGAAAGATGTGGGCACGTCCCTGTTCCTGTGATGATATGTGCAGCTGTTATGAAGCTGTCACTTAGACAAAATATAGACACAGTCCTGGTGAAGGTACCAGCATATTCCTCTTGTTCATTGGGTGTGGGAGCCGGGAGATTACAGAGGCTTGTTTGCTTCCTCGGGCTCTCAGTGTCCAAGGAACTTAAAGTTGAGCTGCTCTGACGAGAATAGGTTTGAACACCCCAGCTGTGTTTTGGAAAAGGCCATTACAGGAAATGTGAGTTTGAGTCCTCTCAGACAAAAAAAAAAAAAAAAAAAAAAAAAAAAAAAAAAAAAA